TACGATATTGTATATAATCAATTGATTGATCATTTACTTCATATTCTCTTTTTACTTCATTTTCAAGATATTCATTTATTAATTCATCATCGATTGATTCAACAATTTCTATATCATTATGTTGATTTACTAATTGAAATTTTTCATTAAGTATTGACCAAAAATATGTATGGCCAATATATTCAATAGCTTTATTACCATATGAACCAAGTAATTCAGTACATATTGACCATAATGGTGTAAAATTTGAACAAAGTATACCAAGAAGATAATACATAGCTAAATGAAATGATGATGTATTATTATTTAATAAAATAAATTCAACAGATAATTTTTGTAAATGAATTATTTTTGCACGAAATTCATAAACATTTAATGGACATTCTTCGCATAAAAGACAAGTTAATATAACATTATTTTTTTCATTTTTATCCTCAATAAATGAAGAAAGTATACGAAGTGTTAATAAACGTATATTTGAATTAAATGATGATAAATTTGTTTTTAATAATTCAATAAATTTATCTGAATAATCATTTGTTGGAGATTTTAATAGAAATGAAATACGTATAGTAAGAAGATAGAGTTCTGAATGAGAATTTCCTTTAAGAATTGTATACCAAAATGATGTTGTAAACGTAATATCATGTGATATGAATTCAATAATTGTTAACGCAATTATTGATGATGATGATAAACAATTTTCCATAAGTTGTGAAATTTTAGCTACATGTCCAACTGTAAGTTTACCTTCATTTGTATCTTTATCGGATAATGAATTATGAAGAATTAATGCTCTCCAAAGTTGTCCAGATGTCTAAATAAAGAATTATTCATTGTTATTAATCCTATCATGCATGATTCCCATCTATTTTTATATGACAAAATGATCTGTAAGTAGATCGGAATGAATCTCAAATGTTTGAACCTAGATTTTCATTATACTTTTGATAGTTTTCAAAGAAATTTTGTCTATCTTAGTCTTAGAAAGTCCTATCGAACATATTTCAATACGTATTTAAAGGGAGTTTATTTGAGGTTATAGTTTTAATTTGTCAGCCAAAAAAGGTACGGAAATGCATTATATCTTGAAATATAGATCTGAAGTCTGTCTGTCTAAATCAACAATTAAATTTAATGTTTCTCAAAGACGATTAATTTTACAATGATTTCATCTTAAATAATATCAAGTGGGATGAAGACGAGGTCCACGCTCTCACTCTTTTTTCATTAATATTTCTATTATTCACCGTTCCCAGTAGTGTTTTATCCAGGTGAGCGCCGCTCACTCAGCCCATCCGCTATATAAAATACTAATTTCTAGGAGGAATCCTTTTGAGTAATGAAAACGGTAGGTTCCCTTCACTTTCATTAAAACTGATAATTTTTAAGTATCTAATTTAAAAAATAATTGAAATATTTACCAAAGTTTGTATATCATCAATTTTTGATAAAGTATTTTGAATAAACATTTGAATAATGTGTAAACCTTGTTCAGTTATTTTATCTTTCGTTAAAAGTTTCTTTTTCGTTTTTAATAAATTGATTTTCTCCATAACAATTTCATCATTATCATTTGATAATAAAATCATATTCTTTTTTTTTCTTTCTATCATAATAAAATCAACAAACCAATCAATAATTTGTTCTTGTTTACTATCTTTTTTATTTAATAAATGTTTCCATAATTGAA